TAAGAGAGCATGCATCCTATATCTCTACTGCAAGAAAGGAAGTGCAGAGGGCCTCTGGTAATGGAGGCAGCACACTCTGCACCAAGCCTCCGATTGCAGCCAGTCTCCAGTGACTCTCCAGTGACACGGGAGGTTGCTCTCTGAGTGAGGCCCAGAGGGGGAAAGGGCTCTACAGTGACCACAGGTTCTGATGCAGGCAGTCATGCTACTGGACACTGCCAGAGCCTGTAGTGTTGGAGACGACTTAGGGCAAGCCTCAGTAGGAGAAGGGCAGGCCCTAAAACTTCTAGAGCAGGCCCATGCTGTCTCGCAGCAGAGAGTTAGACATTTAAAGACAGCTCGGGGTGCTCTACCAGGTTCCAGGAGTCACCCAAGGAAGTGCATTCAGAATTGCCTAGTATGAGCTGGGTGCTTTGGCTCCATCATTTTAAACTGGCCAAGTTCAAGAACAGTCCTTGGCAGGTGGAAGCGGTACATCTGGGATTAGCCAGAGCAGGACAAGGAGGCACTCTCACCTCATCCACATGGATGCAAAGGCTCCCTTCGCTCTCCGCAGGACCCCAACCAGGAGGAGAGGGAGAAAGCAAAAGCATGGCCGTGATTGGCTGACCCAGTACATGGGTGCAAGTCAAAAGTGGACAGTGATCAGCAAGGAGGGGAGGAGAAAGGAAGGAGAGGGGCCTCCGGAAGATGAGAAAATAGCTGGGCGCCGTGGTGGGACCTGTAGTCCCAGCTACTTGGGAGGCTAATGTGAAAGGTTATTTGAACTAGGAATTTGAGGTCAGCCTGGGCAATATAGGGAGACCTCGTCTCAAAAAAAGAAAAGAAAAATATGATAAAAGAAAAGAGGTTGAAGAGATACACATTGACCTGGAAACCAACAGGCGTGAAGCAGCGGGGTGTGGGTGGGTGGGAGGGAGCACAAGGTGTGAAGGCCACCCCCCAGTCACCATGGACAAGGCGTGGGCAGCGTGGACAGTAGAGGTGGCCGAGGCAGAGCTGTTGCAGGTGTGCTGTGCAGGTGAGGTCCCAGCTTCAGGGAGCAGTGCTACCTTCTATAGGAACCTTGCTGCGAGGCCATGCCATTGATGGGAGGAAGGACAGGTCCCGAACAAAGGGCTGGAAGCAAGTCAGTCCCACTCTGGACTCTTGTGACAGGACACAGCAGGGGTACCAGTGCACTATGTTCTACGAAGGCCACCTAGGTACTTGAGACTCTAGGGACCAGCAGGCTCGAAGAACCATCACTCCCTGGCTGGGAGGTGCTGAGGCCACTCTGTCCCAGGGAGGCAGGGAGGGGTGTGGCAGCCAGGACCCCCTACCCCCAGCCCTCTGGTCTCCTTCTCCTGGTTGGTGTCACTCTGAAGGCACGTTGGCAGCACCCCAGTCTGCTGTGATCCCAGGTCCTGAAGCTTGGGAATGAAGACTTGAGCTGTGTCCCAGACTGCCTGTTGGCATCTGCAGAAGTGACACCATTGGATGTGGAGGGTCAGAGTGACCAGTAGAGGAAGGAGATGAAGGCTGCGGCTTCAACAGCCGTGGCGGTGACAGGGACTACGGTCTGCTCACCGACTTCTCTCTCCTAGTTTCCCTTCAGGAGGTGAACCCCATGGGAACCTGGGGAATTGCGTTCCTAAAGTGGACCAGTGTGTGGAGTGTGTGGAGGCCAGGTGGGTGACTGGTTAGGGCCCCCGGCAACTCAGTGGAGAATCTGCTGTGGGGACCACAGTAAGCGGACAGACTGTGACATTAAAATGAAATTTAGTAGCACCTTATGATCATCCGTGATGGTGGCTTCAGTGGGATACATTCATATGTGCACATGACGGGATTTCCTTCCCTCCTCCCTCCCCAGCCCATCCTCTACTGTTCTCCCTTCTGTTTTCACAAGATCTGGGTTTTTATTTTTCTTTCCCCCTTCTTTTACTCTCTAGATTTCTCATATGAGAGAGAGCATTCAACCCATGTCTGTCTTGAGTTTGGCTTATTTCACTTAAACCTGATGATCTCCATTTCCACCTATTTTCCTGCAAATGACAAAATTTCATTATTTATGGCATTAAAACTCCATTGTGCATACAAGCCACATTTCCTTTATCCATCTGTCCATTGTCTATTTACCTGTGAACATATAGTGCTGGGCACCCCAGGGCTGTGTCTCCTCACCTGCTGATGGCTCCCTCCACCAAGTGCTAGAGTCGAGCCAGGCTGCATCATGGGGCATCTCCACTAGTCAGTCAGTGATTGCCTGGAGCCCCCCGGGGGCCTGCCTCAGAGCTGTGCTTCAGAGGCTTTTCCTGCCTGGTCCCCTTCCTGTGGTCTGACCTGCTTTTCTTCCTTCTCCTTTTAACCCCTATGGGAATCAACCCACTGTGGCTAGCTCTTTTTTGTTTGTTTTTGTGTCTTGCTCTTCTCAGTCTTGGTGTCTGCTTCCTGGTGAACCTGAACTGACCCCCAAGGACTTATGATTTTCTCCAGTTTTTTTCTTTCATGAATAGTTTACTCACTGAAGATTGAACAGATACCTACCTTATTAATATGGTATAAATATGGATGTTGATTATTGTAATTAAACTGTCCTGGGGGCTGGTTACAGAGTGGTTTAGCTTTGTCTAGAACTTGTAGCAGAGAAGCAGAGATCTACCTCTCGGTTTTCAGAAGGCAAGACCACCTTCAGAGTTTTTCTGGGTTAATTTTGTTTCCTTTCTTTCACTTCTTAATGGATGCTAGTAACTGGGACTCTGTCTCTTTAAGTCACAGAACCATAAGTTCAAATGAAGGGGCATTTTCAGAAGAATGAAGATTTCTGGTTTAAGTGAGGCCTTGAGTTCAGATGCTTGTGTGAGAGCAGAAAAGCAGAGAACTCTTGTTCTCAGACTGATGCCAACTGCTCCCAGGCTGCAAATCAATGCGACTGGTGCAGGAATAACCTTGGCTGGGATGTTCCTTGATAGGATTTTGCGGCCACCAAGAAGGTTCCCATGCAAGGAAAACACCTATATATAGGGTTCTTCTTATTACCTTTCCCATGAAAACCAAACTCCTGGCAGGGTGAGATGGAAGAGACTGAGCAGAACCCTTGTCTCTGCCCCAAGGCTGTTGGTGATGCAGGTGAAGGGCCAGGCCTCTCCATACCACCCAGTGCTCTGGAGGCTGCACGGTCACCAGATGGCCAAGCTGCCCAGAGTCAAAGGCAGGATTCATCAGCAAAGATGCCGTTTGCCACCAGATCATGCTGATTTTTCCAGCCAAGCGACTGAGACTTCTTGGCAGTCTCATTGGGGGTGTTCAAACACTGACACAAAAAGCCCTGAAACCCAAGTGACACTTTCTCAGAGTGGAGTGTCCAAGGAAGCTCTTACGGAGGAGCCAACGAAGCTATTGGCCCAGAATCAACAGAGAATTTATTGGAAGCGCCTTCCTCTATTGGCGGCTACTTATTTTGTTCTGAGAATGAGCTCCATCACTTCTAATTTGACCTGGGCCGTGATGTGAAGCTGTGAATGTCAGCCTTGGGCACCTCGATGTACCCATCCCAGGGCGGGTGGAAGTGACAGATTTCTCACCTGAGAATGTGTTTGCAATATTAGACAAAGAACTTCATCTTCCCTGTTGAAAGGTACAAGTCACCCTGTCTAACTGAAAAGAGGTAGTCTTTTATATTTACAAAAGAAATGGATGATTAAAAATCTAGGGGCCTTTATCCTTGAAAGCCATTAAGCAGCTAACTTTTTGGGTTCCATGTCAGCTCAGCAGACATTGAATCACTGTCACCTCTAATGCTGAACTCCAGGTGCAACCTGAGCCAGGGCAGAGCCTTGAATGACACTCTCATCGACAGCAGTTATAGAAGTTTCCTCCTGGATACAGTAGTACAAGACTGGTCCCAGCTCTCAGGAGGCTGTCACAGGATGACCCCTAAGAGCCTAGGAGTTTGAGGCCAGACAGGATGACGGGAAAAAAAAAAAAAAAATTAAGTAAGTTGGTGGGTATATCAGGGATCTTCTGAGTTTTTCTCTGCCATTTTTTTTTTTTTTTTGATGTTTTAATTCTTTTCAGAATCTTTTCCTTCCTGTAAAACAGGAAATAATGGGAAGTGGAAGGAAATATGCAGAATGACCTATAAGATTTCTCTTGCCTTAACTCTTTGTGCATTAGTCAGCTTTTTGTCACTGTGACCAAATACCTGAGAAAAACAACTTAGAGGAGGAAAGATTTATTTTGGCTCACAGTTTCAGAGGTTTCAGTCCATGATTGGCTGCTCCATTGCTATGGGCCTGTGGTGAGGGACAGCATCAGGGCAGGGAGAGCATAAATGGACAGAGCTGCTCACCCCATGGCAGGCCAGAAGCAGAGAGGAAGGAGGAAGCAGTCAAGGACAAGATCAACTTCTCCAGGACACACCTTCAGTGACTGGCTTGCAAAACTAGGCCCCACCAGCTCCCAATAGTGTCACCAGATTACGACTCCATCAGCAGATTAACCCACAGATGACGCCAGAGCCCTCATGATCCAATCATCTCCCCAAAGCCCCAGCTCTGGGCCTTGCTGCACTGGGGACTGACTCCTCAATAATATGAGCTTCTGCGGGAGCTTCAGGCTCCAAACTACAACACTTTTTCCAAAGTGGGGAGACGATGATTTGATAGAATTATGACGTGGAGCTGCTGGCTTTGTGGCGGGTAGCCCTGAAGCGGTAGGCCATCAAGAGCACTGAGGATGTTCTCTAGGTCCAGAGGCTTCCAGCAGGATGTTGGGAGGTGTGGAGCCTCAGGATCTGGAGCACAAGAGGTGGCCAGGGTGCCTAGCCATCATAGAAATTAATATGTGTTTTTCTTTAACGAAAGACATTCTGTGTTGGAAATAACCAAATAACTTTCGGGACACAATCCTTAAAAGGGGGTGGGGGATTGCCTGTTCTATGTTAATTAGTGATGATTTATATCACCAAAGGGTTCTTCAGTTTATGCAAGTACTCCAATAATTTGGGTCTGACAGCATTTTAAGTACCTCTGACACATGTGAGTTTTTGTTTATTTAATGAGAGGGAGGAGACAGCTTGGTCATTTTTGGAGTCTTTGTGCCCTGAATGACCATTAGGTGACAAAGCACCGTGACAAAGTCCTGTGGGTCCATGGAAGAAAATGATTTTGAAAATACCGCCCCGCCCCCCGCCAACTTCAGGAAAAGAGCCCATTCTCAAGGGTTTCTGTGAGGTCTATGTGTGATTGTACCTGTGAAATTGTCTTGTAGCCTGATTTAAAACATTACACATGTTACTTACTATGATTGTAGTGGTTGAAATACTAACAACTTTTAATTACCATTACCAAGTGGTGACATCTTCAGTCATGTGATCAAAGTAAGATTTATTATGGCCAAACACCTTGTGAGAACGAATCCACCCTCTTATTTAAGATTGTCTGGAAATAGGAATTTTTAAAAGAGCATTTTGTCATTTTTAAACATGTGTGAGTTGGGCTTGTGCCCACCGGTGTTGGCTCTCCTGTGGGGACAGATGCCCTTCCTGGACCCCCTTTTTGTACCCCATTTTGGTTTGGCAGGTCCTCTTCTTTTTTCTTTGGCTACAAACCACACATTGACCTTTCTTGACCAGGTATGACAAGTGGCCTAACTGGAGCCAGGACAATATGCAGACAGAGAGGTCATGGTAGAGCTTGCACACACCTGGCTCCCGACAACAGGGAAACAAGACAGGGAAGAGGAGTGGCTTGAACAGCTGGTGGAACCAGACCTGGGACTCCCCTGGCAGAGGGAGGAGTCAACCAATGAGTGCCTCATCAGGTGGTAAACTCTTCCAAGTGGGCCTGATAGGCTGCTTCTGGCACACAGTGTGCATTCAGAAAACACGCAGTTAGCCAGGCTACTGGGAGACTGAGGCAGGAGGATTGGAAGTTTGAGGCCAGCTTCAGCAACTTAGCAAGAACTTGTCTCAAAACTACAAAAGAAACAAACCAATAAAAAAGGTTGGGGATGTAGCTCAGTGGTTGAGCACACCTGGGTTCAATCTCTAGTACTGCAAAACAAAAAAACATGAATTTGCCCAGCTACTTGGGAGGCTGAAGAAGGAGGCTGCCTTGATCCCAGGAGTTTGAGGCCAGCCTGGGGGAAAAAAAAATGTATGTTTTATTTTGTGATACATTTATTCAGATTGAAGTGTATGGAGAGAAACTTACTGACAAGTGTGTGTATGTGTGGGGGTATGTTCCTCTCTCCTGCTTTTTTTGTGGTACTAGGGATTGAGCTACACTCCCAGCCCTTTTAATTTTATTTTGAGACAGGATCTCACTAAGTTGTCTTAGCTGGCCTCCGACTTTTGATTCTCCGACTACTCCAGGGTTGCTGTGATCATATCAAATAATCAAATAACTTAAATTCTCTTTTTCATGTGGCTGTATCACCTTCATAGTTTCTGATACCTATACAAACTTCACTGGAACCAGGTGGGTGGCACATGTCTGTAGTCCTAGCAGCTTGGGTGGCTGAAGCAGAAGGATCACAAATTCGAGGTCAGCTTTAGGAATTTAGCAAGACCCCCCCCCCCCACACACACACACATACTGGGCACACCTGGGTTCAATCTAATCCCAGTGGCTCAGGAGGCTGAGGCAGGAGGATCTCAAGATCAAAGTCAACCTCAGCAATTTAGTGAGACCTTAAACAACTTAGCGAGATCCTGTCTCAAAATAAAAAATGAAAAGGGCTGGGGATGTGGCTCAGTGGTTAAGCACCCCTGGGTTCAATCCCCAGTAACAAAACAAACAAACAAACAAACAAATATGGGGATGTAGCTCAGTGGTAAAGTGCTCCTGGGTTAAATTCCCAAATCCCTAATACAAAAAAAAAAAAAAAAAATCAACTTCATTGTTAGATGTAGTCAGTCATTCTCTTGGGCTCCCCCTGCCCACAGGGTTTTTTTTTTTTTTAAATTTTGAGATAGGGTTTCCCTATGTTGCCCAGCCTGGTATTAAAGACCTGGGTTCAAGTGATTCTCCTGTCTCAGCCTCCTGGGTAGCTAGGACTATAAGCATAAACCACTGTGCCCAGCTGCTATTCTTGCAGAAAATTTCTAATTTTCCCCTATTACAGATTATGCTACAGTTGGCAACTCTGCAATATTGCTTGATAGTTTGTGTCTACAGTATTATAAGCATTTAATAAGTTAAGCATTTTCAAAAGTGTGTTTTCCCCATTGAAAAATATTTTCCCCAGAACCCTCCCCTGCAAAAAGATGAATAGTGGCCAGCCATGATGGAGAGACCTGACACAGACCTGTGATCCCAATGATTTGGGCGGTTGAGGCCAGGAGGATCACAAGTTCAAGCCAGCCTCAGCAACTTGTGAGACCTATACAACTTAGCAAGACCCTGTCTCAAAATAAAATACAGAAAAGACTGGGCATGTAGGGATGTAGCTCAGTGGTAAAGTGCCCTGGGGGTTCAATCCCCAGCACCAAAAAAGAAAATAATAAGGGATAAAATAACTTACACAATGTACCAAAGTTGGGCAAAGACTGAATTTTAGGAATTCCTCTCTTCTTTGACCCAGTGTTATCTACTGAAGCAATAGATAACATTGGTCGGTCCGTCTATTATCATCTTCCTTCTTATCATGTACATGATGCAATTAAGAACACCAAATGCTGCCTGGTGCTGGTCGCATTTCTGTAATCCCAGTGGCTTGGGAGGCTGAGGCAGGAGGATTGTGAGTTCAAAGCCTGCCTCAGCAACTGCGAGGTGCTAAGCAACTTAGTGAGACCTTGTCTCAAAATAAAATACAAAATAGGGCCGGGGATGTGGTTTAGTGGTGGAGTGCCCCTGAGTTCAATCCCTGGTATCCGCTCCCTGCAAAAAAACAAAACAAAACACCAAACAAATGTCGGGTGCAGGGTGCTTACCTAGAATCCTAGCTATTCAGGAGACTGAGGCAGAAGGATCTCAAGTTCCAAGCCAGCCTCAGCAAGTAGTAAGACCCTGCCTCAAAATAAAACATAAAAAGGGCTGGGGTGCAGCTCAGTGGTAGAGTACCTGGGTTCTCTCTGCAGTATGGGATGGAGGGGAGAATACCAAAGAGAAGCAAGGCAATGAGAACTACACCTGGAGAGTAACTGCAAAACAGGGTGGATGCACCCGTTTCTTTTGGTTTAAGTGAGGCTGTGCTAGATGGCTGGGATCTGGCCAATTAGAAGTATGCAAGTATCACTTCTGATATCCCAGTGAACTTGTCAATCCTTGTATTTCAATAAAAACAAGCCAACTGTTGGACTTTTGATTATTCAAACCTTTATCTACTCAAGGTCCTCATCTGTTTTGCTCTTCCTCAGTTGCTAATGATGACCCAACCCTGACTTTGGGAATTTTCTCCATACTGGTTCAGCAAGTCCAGGCAGGTTCTGCCCAAGGGTTTCTGGGCCACAGTCCTCTAATAACTGAGCCATCACATCACATTTCTAACCATTCACCTTGGCTGGAATCGGTCACTGGGATCTAGGCAGTAGCCCCAAGGGCAGGAATGATGTGTGAGGCTAAGAAAAGCAACCTGAGGCTTTGCTGAGGTAAAATGGTAGATGAAAAGTTGGGACAAGGCTGGCGCGGTGGTGACACCTGTAATCCCAGCAGCTCCGGAGGCTGAGACAGAAAATCTTGAATTCAAAGCCAGCCTCAGCAATGGCAAGGCCCTAAGCAACCCAGTGAGACTCTGTCTCTAAATAAATTACAAAATAGGGCTGAGGATGTGGCTCAGTGGTCGAGTACCCCTGAGTTCAATCCCTAGTACCCCCCAAAAGAGTTGGAACAAGAGCCACTGGGGCCAGGCATGGGGGCCACACATGTAATCCCTGCAGCTAGGGAGGATAAGGCAGGAGGATCACAAGTTCAAAGCCAGCCTTAGCAACTTATCGAGGTGCTAAGCAACTCACTGAGACCCTGTCTCCAAATAAAATGTATAAAAGGACTGGGGATGAGACTCAGTGGTTAAGTGCTCCTGGGTTCAATTTCTGGTACAAAAAAAAAAAAAAAAACGGCCATTGTGTTAGGCCACCATTTGTACTGACCACATCTGCCTGGAGAGTCCTCACAGGAAAACCAAGTCCTCTTCACTTTTCTCCAAGAGCTCCTAATCCTGTTAAAGAGCCAAGCAGATGGGCAGTGACACAATTGTAGCCAGTGATGGGGGGTACTCATTAATTGTTAAGGGCACACTCACAGGTATTGAGAGAAGAATGGGCACAATCAGAAAGAACCACTATGAGCTCAAGGAATCATGGCTAGGTGCAGTGGAGCACATCTGTAATCCCAGCCAAAAAGGCTGATGCAGAGGATGACAAGTTCAAGAGCAGCCTCAACAACTTACTGAGGCCCTAAGCAACCTAGCGGGACCCTGTCTCATAATAAAAAAAATAAAAAGGGCTGGGAATGTGGCTCAGTGAAAAAGGCAAGAACAAGAATTTAAGAGAAAGAAGGGAGAGATTGGGGAAGGCTTGTCAAAGCAGACGGAGTTTTGAACTCCGTCTGAGGTGTATTCAAGGAACAGGCCCAACGTGCTTGTCACAGCCTGGCTGGAGTGGATGGAGGAAACTTTCTCATTGGGCCATGTAAGAAGCAAGTCAGAAAGATACCCAGATGGCAATTTGTTGGGAGAACTTGGTGCTAGATTGACAGCTTTGAACTTTTTTCTTTCAGGCAATTGTCAAAAAGATTCCTGAGCCAAAGAATGACGTCATGAAAATAGGAGACAGAGACAGAGACTGGAGCAGAGAAACCAGTTGGGAGGCTCCTGGGAGAATTTGAGATAAGGTCCTGATGTGGGGGTGTGAAAGGAGGAAGGGATCTGAGGGGCACCAAAGGAACAGCAGTTGGGCTGCCCACTGTGTAAGGAGGGAGGGGCCTCTTGAAGAAAGTGGGCCTAGGGAAGCTTTGAGGCTGGATTAGGGTGGAAAGTGTTTGCAAATGCAGAGAAAGATTTGCATATCGGCAGGCATGTCCTCTCAATTGATTATCCTATAAAAACTGTGGAGTTTCTCCCTGAAAGAGGGTTTAAAATGGCCACACCAGGGACCAGGCCCCGGCTCTACACAGGATAGGAGAATAGAAAAGTGCTCTGCTCTGGGTTTAAGAACCCTGGGCTAATTCCCAGAGTTTTTTCATGATTTCATTGTATTTACTTGGACAAAATACTTTAAAACTCTCGAGACAGTTTCCTCATCTGTAAAGTAGGGATATAGAATTTGTTACCCATTCTTTGGGTCTACATTTTCCACGAGGTCGTAGTTGGTGGTAAAGCATTGTGTTAGGCCCTGTGTTCAATCCCCAGCACCAAGAAAATTTTAAAAAAATCTTAATCAGCAGAATGCACATTTTGTATTTTAAACCCCCCAAATTTAGTGGCATAAAACAGTACCTATTTTATTTGCTCACGATTCTGCCCTCTGGGCTGGGCTCACTGTGTTCTGCTGCTGTTTGGTAGGGAGGTTGCAGAGGTGTCTGCAGTCAGCCTGTAGGGGTAGAGCTCAAATCAAATGAGTAGCTGGACTTTCCCCTCCTCCACTAATCTTAGGACATCTCTTTATCGATGTGGTTCCCCCAGCAGGGTAGTTGGACTTTTGAATCTAGTGACTCAGGTCTTCCCAAAGTGCAAAAGCAGAAGCTTCTATGCCTTCTTAAGGGGGTGGGTGGGCGGCACTAGCTTATGTCACTGGTCACAGCAGCATTCTCCTGGCTCAGTCCAGATTTAAGTGGAGGGACTATGTAAGTTGCACAGAGCAAGCACGGTCCATGGCAGCAGGACAGACTATTACCTCCTTCTCACCAAGGTGTAAGTGAATCAGCTGGGACTTAGGGAGGCTAGGTCACTTGCCCAATGTAGAGAGCAGAGTTAGTCTCTCCAAAGCTTGTATTCCAAGTCACAGGTCAACAGATAAAATTTATTTAGTGAGTGGTACTGTTGATGTCCCTAATTTACAAAGGGGGAAACCCAGGAATAGAGAACTTAACCTTCTAACCGAGGTGACTCCATCAAGCATTTTGCTTCAGAAATTATACTTCACTACTGCCCCATGCTGCCCTGCATGGGCAGCACCTGCTACACACAGGACACCTGTACCTTTATTTAATCTGAAATTACTAATTTGTTAATTTGCCCAGGCTGGCCTGGAACTTGGGATCCTCCTCCCTCAGCCTCTTGAGTGTCTGGGATCACAAGCTACAGTCATGGTGTTGGGCACTATTTCTTGAAGCTTGGCAAGGAATAAAGAGTACATCCTTGCCCATCCAATCCCAGCCTTGATCTTACTGTTCATTCAGTTCGTACCCTGATTCTCACCTTCCTTCTGCAGTGAAGGCCTTCCTAGAGCAGGCATGGTCTCAAGTTTCCATCCTTTCACCATCAAATCAGTCCCACAGCTTCTGAATTAGTGACCATATGGTCCTAGTCATGGCTGGCCTCCAGTTCCATAGCTCATTTCCTCATGTTGCGACTGCTGTGTCCTCTGAAGATAGTTCAAAAAGACTCTACTCACAAGTGAACTATAGTGGTTCTCCCTTCCCCTCTGCCAGTCCTGTGGGCATGGGAAACATGAAGTTTCAGGGGCTTCTGGATCAACCCAAGTTCCACTTATCTTGAAGTTCATCCATGCCCATGTCTTCCTCTAAAGCAGCCCTGCTTTTCCCCAGTCTGTGAGGAATGGAACAAGAGCACTTCCATGTACAGATACTTTGGATCTCAATTTGGGATAGGATGCAGCCATTCAGCCTAGCACAATGGCACACACCTGTAATTCCAGTGACTTCAGAGGCTGAGGCAGGAGGATGGCAAGTTCTAGAAGAGCCTCAGCAACTTGGGGAGACCCTGAGAAACTTAGCAGCAACATCCTGTCTCAAAATAAAAAATAGAAAGGGCTGGGGATGTGGCTCAGTGTTGTGTCCCTAGGTTCAATCCCTGTACCAAAGGGTGGGGGGAGAAAAGAGAAAAAAAAAAAAGAGAAGAAAATGGCCTTGTCTTTCCTTAAACTTTTCTTCTTCAACTCTGAGATTTTAATTTTGACTTTGTTTCACCCTTATAAAAGCGATGAGGCACAATGCCTGAGCTTAATAAAATTTTATTCTATTTAACAAGCGGTGTGTAGGTGGCCCAGTGCTGAGCAAAGGGCGGAACATATATCGCCCCCTTGGCTTCTTTAATAAACCTCTATTTGGGTCAGTGGGAAGGGTGGGGGCCTCCTGGAGCCTAACTTACCTTGCAGCCATATCTTCTTTTCGGGCAAGGGAAAAGGGTCGAGGGAGGGAAGGAATTGAGCTGCTGCGGAGGGCGAGGCCGCCTCCCACTTCCCAGCAGCTGTCTCTCCAGGCCAGACCTCCTCCCCGAGGCGGGGGGTCTCCCCCTTGCCCTTATCCAGGCAGTGGGAGGGTGGGTGGCTTTTTCCGGGTCACTGGCGCACCCTCTCTACTCCCAGCCACCTGCCTGTGTTCCATCCTGGCTGCAGGCTCCCTGGAGGGCGTCAGGGACATTCCAATCCTCCCACTACCCGCGCGGATGTCGCGGGGGAGGGGGGCGCAACTGCTCTCCCCTTCCAGCACCCAGCTTTGATCCGGTTTCTTCTTTACCCCTTCTGGCCCTTCACCCCGTGGAGGAAATGAAGGATTGGTGAATGATTTGAAGGTTGTTTACAACCCACCCGTGGGCGAAGCTGCGTCTCCGGCAACAGAGGCACTTTCTGGGCACCGTCTGCGCTCTAGTAGACAATTGAAGGCCAAGCAGCCAAGATGCCTTCTCACCAGACCAAATATGGTCACAAGCGCTAAGCAGCCTCCCGAAGAAAGGCTGGCCTTCTCGGTGTCTCCCCGCGCCGGGCGCAGTCTGGCCTGACCTCTGGCAGAACTGCGGGTCAGTGCAGCCCTCCCGGTGCCTGAGGCTCCGCGCCCTGCTGGAGGGAAGGCGCAGCGCCCAGGACCGACCCTTTCTCGTCCTCGGCCCCTCACCCGCGTGCCCTCCGCCACCTCAGGCTTGGTTTCGGTCCACAAGCCCTTGATTAAACAGGCTCGGGCCACTTTCCCTTTGATCCCGCCCCAAGTCCGTGGTAAACGCAAAGGAATGCAGACCCAGGGCTCCGCGGGAGAGGTCCGCGCCGCCGGGAGGAGTGGGTGTGGGGGGGGGGGGACCCGGCTCCTCTTACCCTGTAAAGTACCCATCACGCCCAGGGTTTTCTGGAGCCCGGGTGGGAGGAGGAGGAGGAAGAGGAGGGGCCAACGGGGCTGGCGGCTCTGGACTTGGAGATCATGCATAATTCAACAGCTCAACTTTCGGGCCCGCCTCTTTCCTGGGGGTGGGAGTTTGCTTCAAACTTTGTTTATGGGACAGTTCGGGAGGTGCTGTGACTGCGCCGTCTGCTGCTTCTGCGCCTCCTTGTCGCCACGCGCGAGCGCCTGAGGCCGGCTCGGGGGATGTGAGCGCGCAAGTCCCTCGGCGGCCGGGCACCAAGTCTAGTCGAGATTTGCCGGCGGGGGCGGGGCTCCACCTCCGCCAGCTCCGGACGTACCCCGGCGACTCGGGCCGACGGCCAGCTCCGGCGGGACGGCGGCCGCCGCGCGTTCGGGCTCGGCTTCGCTGCGCGCCCAGGTAGTGCCCGCTGGCGCGCCCGCTCGCCCGCACTACTCCAGGGCGCCGTGTCCTCCGGTTTCCGGAGAGGCGACTCCGCGGACTTGGCCCGATTGACTTGTTCGGGGGGCCGCCTTCCCTGGAAAGCTACGACCGGTCCTCTGCCACCGCAATTCAGCAGCGTCTCAGTGCAGCTGCTCCCCACCTCCCCGCTCCTCCTCCTCCCGGCAACTTCTTGGCTTCAGGAAAGTTGCATAATTCTGGAGGTCAGGAGGGACCCCTCCCCCATCCGGCTGGGCTTGCCGCTGGTGTCCGGGATCCCTGTATGGACACCTAACTGTGTCCTCTATTTCTCTTATCCCTATTCCCTCCCCATCCCAACTCCTCCCTCCAACTTGAACTAAAGGCTAATCTGATCTGCCTTCCTCTTGCAGAAGATGAATCCGTCCTCGGCGCCCCCACCTCTCCCGCCGCCCGGGCAGCAAGTGATCCACGTCACGCAGGACCTCGACACAGACCTCGAGGCCCTCTTCAACTCTGTCATGAACCCCAAGCCCAGCTCGTGGCGGAAGAAGATCCTGCCGGAGTCCTTCTTCAAGGAGCCCGACTCGGGCTCGCACTCGCGGCAGTCCAGTACCGACTCGTCGGGCGGCCACCCCGGGCCGCGGCTGGCCAGCGGCGCGCAGCACGTCCGCTCGCATTCCTCTCCCGCATCCCTGCAGCTGGGCACCGGTGCGGGCGCTACGGCCAGCTCCGCGCAGCAGCACGCGCACCTCCGCCAGCAGTCCTACGACGTGACAGACGAGCTGCCGCTGCCCCCAGGCTGGGAGATGGCCTTCACCGCCACTGGGCAGCCGTACTTCCTCAAGTAAGTCAGCCTGGAGCCAACGGGGCCACTGTCGCGGTGCCTGGCGAGCGCGCGAGTGTGTGCGTGTGCGTGTGCTTGTGTGTGGCGGCGGCGTGGGGGGGGGGATGGAGGAGGGACTGTAAGTGCTTTCCCTCCAAGACTTGGAAAGCTGGAAGGAGTAGGGGGCGAGTATCTGGGAGATGGGCTTATAAGGGATCAGAAACAGCGAAGTCTGTGAAGTTCGTTCATGGACCTGGAAGACCCAACAGATTCAGGACTTAGAAACTCTCACACTTTGGAGAAAAGAAGTTTTTGGGGGGGGGGGGGATTCCCATAAAACCTGTAGGTAACATAGGCCCTTAGCCCCTGTGTCTTCACTGAGGGCTCTAGATCAGATAGCCAGCCCACAGCCAGGTCCATAGGGATGTGACACCAAGATATAGAGGGAAAAGTTGGGAGAAGCAGTCCTGGAAGAGGATCGGCAGCCTCTAGTCTCTTGGTAGAAGCAAGCTGGAAAAGTGAACAGGGCCTGGTAGGCCGCACTGCTCCCAACTGGGTGACGTAATGACCACAGAGCACAGTGATGTCAGTAGCTGTGGGCTGGAACATGATCATGTGGAAATTGGGTCAGGAGTTTTATTATGTCACACTTGGTGACCTAAAATACTGTCCAGTCGGGAGTCTCCCTCGTTACCCTGCTTTCCTTAATTATTCTAGCTTTTTTTTTTTTAAACTGGGATTTGAACTACATTCCCAGCTCTTTTTATGTTTTAGTTTGAAACAGGGTCTTACTAGGTTGCTTAGGGCCTCACTTAATGCTGAGGCTGGCCTGGAACTTGGATCCTCCTGCCTCAGCCTCCCCAGTTGCTGGGATTATAGGCATGTGCCACTTGCACCCAGCTGTTTGAACTTTTTGATGTAAAGATTTTTACAGTAGATTTGAATTTTCAAATTGGATTGTAGAGGAAAATGCATTCTCAAACACTAGAGGAGATCGTTTCACCTGGGGTACCCTAAAATTATTACTTTGCCAAGCAGAAACCCTGCTGGAACTGGAAGTATGCCTAGGAGGCTGCAGGGTTAGGCTGTTCAGGCCTGGCTGGGAGCTGAGCCCGATGGTTTGCTTGGTGTAGGACTGCCTGCCCTGGCTGGCATTGGCTCAGTGAGAGAGATGCCTAAGAACTTGCCTCAGAGTTAAAGCCCCTATTTCTTTGGTGGAGTAGACTTTATTTCAAAAACTGTGTTGAAAAGCTTGAAATATTAACACCTTGTGTGCTATTTTGAAAGCTTAGTCTAGCTCCTCTTCGGCCACTAGTATCTGGTACTGGGTGTGAGAAGTCCTTAGGAACATACGCCCAGAGATGACCAGTTCTTAGTCTCTCCTTGTTCCCAAGCTGTGGGCATCATTTTTTTTTTTCGGGGGGGGGGGATGGTTTGATTGAACTCAGGAGCACTGGGCCACTGAGTCACATTCCCACCTCTGTTTTGTATTTTATTTGGAGACAGGGTTTCACTGAGTTGCTTAGTGCCTCGTTTTTGCCGAGGCTGGCTTTGAACTCACAATCCTCCTGCCTCAGCCTCCCGAGCTGCAAGGATTACAGGAGTGTGCCACTGTGCCCAGCCAGTTGTTGGCATATTTATGTAAGAGTCGTTTTTTTTCTTTTGGGTTTCTGGGGTTGGCATAATACTGAGACCCTGAAAGAGACCTAATGGTCATTTGTTTGACAGCCTATCTTCTCTGGGTCACTGAGTTGTAGTGTAGACATGTGCCCAGTGCTTTGATTTCCAAGTGACTGGTGGAAGTCAAGTATATGATATGATAATATGACATTTTTCTGAAAGTGATATTGTTCCAAAGGATGACATTAGTTTCTTTACTGCATATAGATCCAAAATAGTTAGCATCATGTATTAAGTTCACTTAGGTAAATGCAGTTTTGCCTATTTTATGGTGATTTATCAAAATGGACTTAATAATAAATAAAGGGCTGGGGCTATAGCTCAGTTGGTAGAGTGCTTCCCTCAAATGTACAAGGCCCTGGGTTCCATCCCCAGCATCACCCCCCCCCCCCAAAAAAAAAGGACTTAAATATAGATTCAGTAATTAACAATAATTTAATAATTTAAACTTTCTGGTCTCAATTTTTTTTTTTTTTGGATACAGGGGATTGAACTCAGGGACACTCAACCACTGAGCCACATCCTCAGCCCTGTTTTTGTATTTTATTTAGAGACAGGGTCTCACTGAGTTGCTTAGCACCTCCCTAAATTTCTGAGTCTGGCTTTGACCTCTTGATCTTCCTGCCTCAGCCTCCCAAGCTGCTGGGATTACAGGCATGCACCACCATGCCTGGCTTAGACAGTTTTTAAACTGTGTATGAATACATACTTATGTGGTATAGTATATGATCAGTGTAAATGTGATTGCTGAAAATCTGAAATATGAGCTGGGGCTGGGGGCAGTAGCACACACCTGTGATCTAGTGACTTGGGAGGCTGAGGCAGGATTAATGCAAGTTCAAGGCCAACCTGGGAAATTTAGTAAGATTCTATCTCAATAAAAAAATTACAAAAAAGCCTGGGAATGTAGCTCAGTGGTGAAGCATCCCTGGAGTCAATCTCTAGCACCAAAAAAAAAAAAAAAAAAAAAAGACAAGAAAAGAAAAAGAAAGAGCTGGGTCTGCCTTCATATCTGTGGAAAGCTAGATTTAAAAAACAAAAGACCCCCCCCTCCCAACAACAACAGCAACAATTCCTTTTATACATGTATTTTGAATGATTAATGAAACCCAGGACTGTTTGTGATTTAGGGCAAAAATGGAAATTTTGGCAAAGGTTGCTGTGATCCATTTCTGCCCATCCCCCTACCCACAGCAGAGGGCATCTTCCATTCACTTTGAATAGACAGTCAAGACCAGACAGCTGGAAGAAAACAAACACAAAACAACCCACCAGAAGTAGGCTGGCCTCGTCTAATGCCATCCCAAAAAGTGTTCTGGTTTACTGGGTGAAGAGGCTTTAAGAAATTAAGTCATTGTGACTATTATCTTTCAGAATAAGCCATCTGTCAAAAGTTCTTTCCTTCAGAGCTTTATTTAAAGTCTGAATAAGGTAAAAGTTAAATGTCACTCAGCCTCAAAAGGCAATGCATTTGGGGAGATTAAGGAGTTTGAGCCGTGCCTGGTGCATGGCTGTGACCCCAGCACCTCCAAAGGCTGGTACAGGTGGATAGAAGGAGGATTGCAAGTTCTAGGCCAGCCTCACCAATTTAGTGATCTCCTAAGCAACTTACCCAGACCCTATCTCAAAATAAAATAATAAACACATTAAAATCAAAAGGGCTGGGGATGCGGCCCAGTGGTTAAGCACCCCTGGGCTCAATTCCTGGCACTAAAAAAAAGTAGGAGCTTGAAAATGGTGGTGAGAATCTGGTCTTTACTTGGCCCAGCCTGTGTGAAATGGGCTAGCAGAAGAGCCCTAGCCGTGCCTCTGTGGGGAGTTGAAGAGTGTAAGGATTTTAGAATTGACAAGGATCAATTTTTTTTTTTTTTTTTGCTATTTGTTTTGGTTTTTGATTAGAAAGCTGAGGCCAGGGAGAGGTGAAGACCTTCTGGAAAGGCGTATACTTATTTAGTGGAGGACCCTGAAGTGGTTTTCCTTTCCCCTCCCCCACCTTTTGCCCTTGTCACTTCCCCAGTTGAACACAGAGGCTTGTGGGAAACAGCCTTGAACTTTAAGAGACTTTAAGAAGTCTTTGTCACTTTTTCAGGTAAGGTATTCCCAGGTATGTGATGGGTACCTCCTGAAGGTTCCCTTTCCAGAGCAACCACGGCTTTTCTGCAGCATTCAGGTAACAGCAGAAAACCATGTGGCCCCTGAGAACCCTGGCATTGCGCCTCTTGTCCTCTACTGGCTGCTTAAGTGCTGAGCTGTTAGCAACTAGAAGCACTGGGATTGAACTCAGGGGCACTGGACCACTGAGCCGCACCCCCAGCCCTATTTTGTGTTTTATTTAGAGACAGGGTCTTACTGAGTTGCTTAGCGCCCTGCCGTGGCTGAGGCTGGCTTTGAAGCATTGACTTTGAACATGGGTCACATTGAACATTTGAAAAGTTTCTGGTTATAATGCAGTACATATTCTTTTGTACATAAACCAGACAACAAAGAATTGTAATTGATCTAGCTTCAGTAGATTTTTCCTTCTTCATTTTATAGCCTATTGTAGAAAACTTTTATTTGAATAACATAATTCTTTTAAGAAAAAAGATTTTTATCTTGTTCTTCCGTACAAGTTCAACCATGACATTTGACTGCCACTCCTAATTTTAGGAATAATTTCATTGTTTGGCATTCTCTGAAATTTGTGGTAAAAGAATTATTTTTGTCAAAGGGATCTCTATACACTTGGTAACAAACCCAGTTGTACAGAAGGACTTTTGTTAAAAACAGTGTTTTCCTTTACTTCTTCAAGGCTCACAGAGGGGAATCTTTTAAAATTTTTTAAAATCTTTTTCTGTCTTGAATTTTTAGATCATTATCTTCTTTTTTTTAAGTTGTAGTTACACACAATACCTTTATTTTATATCTTTATGTGTTGCTGAGGTTCAAACCCAGGGCCTCACAGGTGCTAGGTGAGCACTGTACCACTGAGTCACAACTCAGCCTTAGGTCGTTATCTTCTTAGCCTTTAGTGATATATACTTTTACTCCCCTTCCCTTTTTTTTTAACTTGGGATTGACCTTTGCAAGGGTGCTTTACTACTGAGCTACTGAGCCATTTTTATTCTTTATTTTGATACAGGGTATTGCTAAGTTCAAACTGGAGATCCTCCTGCTTCAGCCTCTTGAGTCCCTGGGGTTATAGGCCTGTGTCACCACGCCCAGTTTATCATCATTTTTTTTTGATTTGTCAACTTTAAGCTTCTTATGTAGGAGAGAATGTAGTTCCTTAAACTAGTTTTCTTCTTCCTCTCAAGTTTATTATTTAAATTATCTTAAGTTTCCTGGGCATGGTAGTGAAG